GCTGCAGCATGACGGCACCTCTGGAATGCAGGAGCAGTATCTCACCAGCATTTCTGCCCTCCAAGAGCATCACTATCCCAAATACCATACACAGTGAGGGAGCTAAGATCCCGTTACATGTGGGCCTGACAAACGCACAACCATGCCTGCTACCACAACAAGAGCTCTGTTTTAATGGAGAGGAGATCTCACTGCCTTGGGATGCACTCCAGCCAAGGAAAAAGGAGAACTTGTCCCTCCTATGGAGAGGTGCACCACTCAAAAAATCTGTACTAATTTTCCATCATGAAGTGGAAACTTCTGGACCCTTAGGTTATCAGTTTTGGCAAAATGTTACACTAACAAATACAATTTTAAATTCCAGAGGCTTCCTGATATATTCTTGAAATCAATAATTCACTGCTCTGATATACACTACACTTGGAGAAAAACAAACCAACCAGCATCTTTTAAAGATTTATCTAAGGGGATTATTAATATTTAACAGGGCACCAATGCGGCAGAGCTTAGTGTGAACAAGCAAGGTAATCCAGTTTCTTCTAGAACTTGGCCAAGGCAGTTTAAGTTTAACACAGGGAGGGATAAGAGGGGCAGTTCCAAGCACCACATAAAAGGGCCAGGACTGAAGAAATGGAACAAAACATGATTGCTTGGGCAAGAAGGTGGCTGAGCAAGCAGTAAAGTACATTCAGTGCCAACAGCACCTGCTAAAACCAAAGCTTTTCAAAGCAGAATAGGCAGTTGCCATAAAGCAGCTGCTGGGTTAGTCGTGTCTTCAGGTGACACATTTCCTGTGTGTTCCTTCACCACAAGAGGATGCCTGTCCTTTAGCATCAGCCACCTGTATCCATGTGGACATCCCTCTGGCCCCAGCTGCTCACAGAGCTCCTCCCTGCTCCAGGCATCCCAGTTCCATGGGTGCACTGTTCCTCAGAGGCACAGTATTGTGTTCCCACATTCCCACCCACCCAGGGTTCAAAAACGAGTATTCAGAAGGGTCAGAAGGGGGTTAACAAACTCCAATCTCCCAACTTCTGAAGCACTGCACTAATTTAGAGGGTACATAAAGGGGCTGAGGTAGATCTCACTGCTCCTGCTGACTGCAATCCAACTCAACTGGTCACTCCAAGTCCACTTCAGAGCTCCTCTCTGCCATGCTGCTCTCCACCTCAGTGAGCATGTCCATTCTCCACCAGGCTCTCCCAGTCCAGCAAAAAACCCACTCAGTTCCCCAGATGGCCTTGCAGAGTGAGCTAGAAAAGTCTCATGGATTGCCAGCAATTTGTCAGGCTTGCTTTCCCTGAACAGCTTTCACAAGTGCTGGTACCAATCCTAACATAAATCCTGGTTGGAAAATTTATGTTCCAAGCTTGTCCCACCATAGACTGCATCCAGGAGACCAATTTGAACAGAAGGCTCAGACTACACTTCATGTTTTCGCTTATTACTTGGACACCACTGCAGCATCTTTTAAGGGTGAATGACGCATTAGCAGCCCTTTAAGATAAAGATGGGTTCCATGTGCTCTCTTCTCCAGGGCACATGAGTGCTCAGTCAAAAACTTCTGTGCACATCAGACCCTCAAGATGAGATCTCAGACTTTGCTTATGTCTGACATTAATCAGCAAAGTAGAAATAAAACCTTATGAGAATCAGGCAGGAGGTAAGTTTAAAATATGATCAAAATCTAAACCAGGACAACGTGTGTTTGTGTTAGACTCCTTGAAGGTCAAAAGGCATTGGCTTCAAGTTCCTGGCAACCAGCACCAACACAAGGCCACAATCAGTAACAGAAGAATGACAAACACCACACCACAAGCAGCCTGGTGCTGTCACAAGCTGCACTAACAGCTCCAGAGAGGGGGGGACCATGGTATAAAGCCACAATAAAGCTCTCACCCCAGTAAGCAAAGCTAAGCACCCTCAGATAGCACAGGGGACCTCACAAGCCACTACCAACAGACAATCCCTTCCCAGAGAGCTGCTGACAAGTCATCCCCTCAGTACATCCGAAGCAGCAGCACATCAACATGCTGCCTCTGTGTGAGGCAGCAGAGGCACCGGGAGATACTGCACACCAACGCAGCTGATGGTCTTTGAGAAGACTCCACTGTTGCCTCAGGGTTTGTGCTTTGCAGTGATTAATTGGACAGACATGAGCAAACACATTTGACATAACCATAAAAACATAAGCCAACAATCTAATACAGTTATTACTGCCAATGCTTACACATCATGCTGGAACAAGCCCTCATCCCCCTAGAAATGGATTTGATACTTCCAGTTTGAACACAGCAGCACCAACCCAAAAATCTGACTGGTGGAAATTACAAGATAATGTTTTTTAGGGTAATACTATAAAGTCTGACTTTGACATTTTATCATTGTAAATATTTGCCTCTGATTTAAATAGAATTACTATGCCACTTCTTAAAGTCTCTCCTTTCACTGCCTCATTTAAAATCTAATCACCGTTTCAGTCTGTGGGCTTCAGAGACAAAATAATCTAAAGAATCAACAGCTTGAATGCATACCAAAATCACACCAGGTATAATAAGAACAGTGTTCCATTCTCAGCACAGCTTTCAGTGAAAATAAACTTTCCTTCGCACATACACAGTATGTAAAAAAATAGGGACTTTATAAAGAAGTTGAACTGCTTTTTCCAAGAAAAATCAACCATATATCTTCCCCAAAACCAGAAAGTCTTGTGAAAGATCATACAGTGGAATCATCACATTGAAGCTGCTGAGATAAGCTTTATGATAAGCATTATCTTTGTGTGAAACCGATCCAAACCTCACTTATTTTGAGTTAATTGCATGTTATTTGTTATGGAAGTCATTGTTCTCCAACAGCTGCAAGCATTCTTCTCTCAAACACTCTCAACATGCATACTCATGATTAATGTTATTTTTAACATTTCTGGACAGCACTCAAAAATATACATCCCACTCAGACAGGCTTAGTACGTGCTTCTCTGAACCAGGCTGTCATTGTCTCATGGAGCCGATACAGCAGTGCAGCTCTTGGGCCCAGGTGTATCCCAGAGATATCAGTAATCCAGAAGGTTTACTTTTAATTCTTATGGAATTAACACACCTCCATCACAAAAGCATTGTTTAGCCTCCAGTTTCAAACAGGCTTAGCTTCTCAGAAGTTAGTATGAATTCAACTCCACACACTTCTCTATAGGATGACCTAACGTGAAAAGCTGGATTAATTTTACTGTGGCTTCTAGTTATCCAATTTCAAGATGACGTTTTCACAATTCAGGAAGCTTTTATTGTCTCAGACATACCCATCTTGAGTAAGAAGGATCAGAGAGCTGTTTAGATCAGTAGCTGCATTTGCAGCCTCTGGCCACAATGCAAAACAGACTTTAGAGCATCGATGTAACCTAGAACAATGCTACACTGCTTAAATGCCTGATGTTGACTGAACAGGGTTAAACAACAGTTTTAAACAGCACATAAAACATGAGCTAATTTTAACTTCATTCTTTCCCTCCCCAGAATTGCCAGAAAAACCTTTTTTAAAAACCCAACTTTGCAGCTGCAGAGACAGACTGAAACAGAATGAGCTTTGGAAAGACAGCAGAAAACTGCAACCCTTGTATAACAGGCGACCACCCGCATATACCCGAGCTCCTGCACATAACTTCAGACACTGTGTCCCATCCTGAACAGCCTTTGAAATGGGGAACGGGAAGGAAGAAACTCCACTTTCTGTAATGAGAGCACTAATTCCTAATAGCACACATGGGAAGAGACTTAGGGAGAAATTCCCAGATGAAGTTGATTTATTACTAAAGTGACATGTTTCAGAAAAAGAAATTCCTGACAAATCACATCAGCACAGGCAAAACAGGAGCATGTTGCAATTACTGTGTTGCAGTCAGTTGCTGTGTGGGTGACAACAGCCATGCTGTACTATGCTTAGAAAAGAGGAAAGGAAGCAACAAAGCCTGACTGTGCCCCTTAAGCCCTGCTTGTTGGGTCAGACCAGATTACATGACACAAGGACGTTCTTTAGTTCAAAGGTTCATGAGAGGGTTGTGAAATCTCCTTTGACAGCTTCCAGAAACAAAAATACACTTGAGAAATACCCCACTGCCCCAGTTACTTAAACATGTAAGGAAGCCTTTATATAACACGTTGACACCAAGAATTCCAGCTGCTTCACGTGCAACCCATACTGGTAATAAGAAAAAGCACTGATGAAGGCAGAAGCCTCTGCTCTCCTAGACTTAAAAAAAATAAAAATAAAAATACCAGTTTCTAGGTATTTCTTACCAGTATTATCCAAACCAATCCCCAGGACTCACCCTGCATTTCCTACCATTGCACACCTTTGTTCCAGTACCACTTTCTCACAAAGCAGCCTTGTAAAACATTTCTTTCTTCAGAATCCTATACACACTGATCAGAAGTACAGTAGAACTTTATTCTTTGAATGAGGAAGAGCATCCAGACCAGTATTTGGATATTTGCTTATAAAACTTACTTTGTCTTTTTTTAACTTGTCTTCGTATCTAAGAAGGTACCAGTTTCGTGTTACTGAAGGAGAAATGTTAGGATGAGGTTTCCTGAGGACACAATTTGTGCAGGACATGTTCCACAGTAAGACCATCTCAGAAACAAGATGTAGAACAATCCAAAAGGATTTAGCAATAATTTAAAAACCCAAACTATCGAGGAATTAACCTGCTGTCCCATGTCAGTATCAGCTTTACTCCTGATGGCTATTAGAACAGCCTTACTGTTCTTCCTGCTGCTCCTACACCTCTCTGGACACATGCTTTACCTCTGAGGCAGCAGTGAGCATAGCCAACAGTTTTGAGGACAAGAGGACAAACTACAAAACTCAGTGAGCATTCTCCATCGAAAATACCTGCAACTGTGGCACCAAAGACTTTAACCAAACTGTGTAAGAGAGTACTGGTGTAAAAAATACTCTTTTGGAAACTGGAAACTGGAAGCACTGGAAAGCATTCTCACCTGAGCTGTAATCTTTCAGTCGCAGGTCCTTCACAGGTGTCCCATCAGGCCCTCGGAAAGCATTGAGAATCTACAGGAAAAACGAGATCCACTTCAACCTCCAAAATAAAACCTCCAAACGCGGGGTACTTGCTAATGTGCATTTCTCTCTCTCTCCAAGACTTCTGTTCTTTTAAGATTAACTCCATTACAAACTGACACACTTTCCTGATTAAGTTCCAGCAGTACCTAAGAACCACTACCGAGTTTTATCACTGGGTTTTGTTTGAAGAAGTGAGCACCATGTACACCGCAATTCAACTGTACAAACGTTTATTACCCTGGTTTCTGACAGACAGTTCACCTCTAATCTTTATTTAAGGTCAGAGATGACCTACTGCCTTCAAGAAAATCAAAGTACAAGGACAACTGTTCCGAGTCTTACCATCCTCTGAAGGACAAAGTTTCTGTCATGAGTTCTCAAGTATCAGGCCTCAGAAGCTGATCACCACAGCTAACCCTAGCAAAAACTGCTGCATATAGGGCTTCTCATGCTTGGAGTTGTCACCAAACAAAAAAACACAACCAAACCCAAAAAGTCCTAATTCAAAGTGGAAGCTTTTGGAAAAGGAACTTCTTTCACCTTGTAGCCCATATCATTTTATGGTTTTTTACTAAAAACAGCAGTAACATCTTTCCCATCTTTGTAATGCTCACTTAAGCAATTTCAAGTAACTAAGAACAAACAAGTTCACTTAGATGCTATGTATCTTCTGAGCCCAAAATAGTAGTAACAATATTTGGTATATATAAAGCAGTGATGGAAGTAAGGCATGTTAAAGAGTCTGAAGTCAAGGCTTCTAGCTATCAACACCCCACACATGACTGCAGAAAAACTCATCACTTCCAGACCCCCCAAACTCCCAGAATAATCAGATAAAAGGTAACATTGCAATAAGGTAACACTGCAATGACTTCTAAATCTGGATTTTCCCTGGGGAAAATGACAGACCATCTGATCTACATGAACCAGGCTTAAAAATGGTACTTTAGAAACCCTTAACAGAAGTTTTTGGATTAAGACTATTCCACTTACATCATTCTTTGTGGCATTTTCAGGCACTCCTCCTAGACGAATGAGCTTGCTGGGCTTCATGTATTTGGGGCAGGTCCGGTAATCCTGGTCCTTGAGTTCACACAATTGAGATGGTTTTACAAATGAGAGATGTCAGCTTACAAGATACACATGCAGTAACAAAACAAAGCAGGGGATAATTCAAAGGCAAAGGCCTGTATGCGGCCTGGCTCAAAGTTTTGACTCCTGTTTGAGATTCAGAGCTCTGGAGAACTGGCACTGGTACTTCACATGCCCACTGAGCTGTACAGAGAAACCTAGCTCCAGGAAAATAAAACAGGCAAATCACTTCTCTCTGCTTTCCACCAGTGGATATTCAAATTCCACAGCAGTTATTAACTCAGTAGTTACCATTACCTTCAGATTTCCAAGTTAACTCTGAAGGAAAACAAAGCATGCACAAGAACAGCTGTACACAAGGCCACCCCAAGCCAGTGGCTTCTCTCTGCTACTGCTCATAAGCAATGGCCAGGAGAAAATAATAAAGTAAGTTCTTCTGTACCCTACTTCCCCCCAATACCCTCCCTCTGTTTGGTCATTTTCATTTTGGGAACTTTCTGAACCCAATCTGGTTCTATGTATTTAGCAATTCTCATTTGCTAAACTGCACTTCCCTTGAGAAGAAAGTGTTTCTGAGATAGAAAGGGTGCCCTTCAAACAACCTGGAGCAGAGGATGATCTCAGAGAAGGCTGGTGGATTAGGATAGAACTGAAGTGGTGGGATATGGAAGAAGATTCATTCCCAGCTCCTCCCATTCTTTGGCCAACATGCGTTTAACAGAAACATCAATTGACAAAATCACCTACCTGAAGGCTCTTATAGAGTCTAGAATCTTTGCTGGGTTTTCCTTCTGAAAAGGACTTGCCGTGTTCATAATCAAACATCTGATGCCCTGGCAGCCGGTGATCCACATCGCGATACTCCATGTTCCGGTAGTCTGTATCTTGCCTTCCAAGGAAATCCAGGTCACCTTCACCCTTTAACCCAAGATCAGAATCGGATCTTTGCTGCTCTCCCCCTGAAAGCTGCTGCTGTTGTTGCTTGTTAGCAAAGGTCTGAGGTTGCTCCTCTTGGTCCTGAAGAGCAGGAAGAGGTCCACGGCTATTCTGGAAATTGTGTGAAGTGTCATCTTCAAGACCCAATCCAAGGGATTCCTCTTCTCTGGCTGGTGCCTCAGAGTGTTGAAATTCTCCTTTCTGGCTACCAAAGGGAATTCTATCTAGACCAAGTGCAGACTCGTCTCTCTTGCTGGTGCTTAAACCAGAGCCCTCTCTTTCTAATGGTACAGGAGATTGGTTGCGTCTAAAATCTACAAGGCCTTGATCCACAGGAGGCATTTCCCTATCTGAAAAGTCCATAGGAGGAGCCACATCTCTGCTCCTAAAATCCTGATCAGACCGGGACCTCTGCCTGTTTCTGAAGTCTGACGATGATGCGTTCCTGTTTCTGAAGTCCAAATCAGAGGTGCCCACACCCCTGAAGTCCAAATCAGGTACATCCCTATTTCTGAAGTCGGAATAGGAATGCTCTCTGCCCCTGTAGTCTAACTCAGACATGTCTCTTGCCCTAAAGTCTGAATGAGACCCATCTCGACCTCTGAAGTCTAGATCATAAGATCCCCTTCCCCTGAAGTCTGATGGAGGTTCATCCCTGCCCCTGTAATCCATGTTATGTGCTTCCCTGTCCCTGTAGTTCATGCAGAATGTCTCCCTGTTCCTGTAGTCCCCTGAAGGAACGTCCCCAGCCCTGAAGTCCATAGGGGGCCCTTCTCTCTCCCGAAAGTCTCCAGAGTACATATCCCTGCCCCTATACTCCGAAGCGGGTGGCTCCCTACCTCTGAAATCCACCTGAGACTCGTCTCTGCCCTGGAAGTCAGATGGTGGGAAATCTCTGGCCCTGAAATCATGGTGTCCCTCCCCACCTCTGAAGTCACTACGTGGTCCATCTCTAGCTCCATAGCTGAAAGAAGGTTCCTCTCTGTTGGCAAACTGAGGATTGAGGAGGCCTGTGAGTGCCTGGATATCAAAAGGAAGTGATTCTCTGCCAGAGAAGTTGCCAGAGTGTCTTTCTTGAGCAAGGCTATCAAGGGAAGGAGGATATTCCCTGTTCCACCCGGGAGCAAACCTTTCTTCTTGGCTCCCACTGTAGAAATAAAGACAGTATTATTCATAACGTGCTTAGAGTCTGAAATCTACACAGCAGCACATTCTTCTCTAAACTTTTATAGAGCTGTGTAACAGTCTAAGATCCGCAGAAGACACTGATGTTTGGCAGTTTAAGATGAGGCAGCATACGACAGATGTGAGAAAGTAAACTTGGGTGCTCCCATTTCAGCACAATTTCCAGAAGCACTCAACAGGGAATACCTGCAATATTAATGGGTTAATGATGGTAGCAATCCACATAGTCCTGCACTGCACACAGCTCTGCAGCTGTCCGAGGTTCCAGCAACCGGTGTGTTAGCATCGTTAGCATCACCAGCACACGCCTGAGGAACCCCATGAGCTTAAGCTCTCCAGGCAGTATGGAAACAGCTAACTCACACATCATCCTAAGGCACATGAAAGTAGAGATTACCAAACAGGCTTTATTGACATACTACAAAGACTCATTTATGCTTCCTTGTGCTGGAGTCCAAACTGGCAAAATGCTGAGCCATCAGTTCAGACTTTGGGGATGCCTCACAGGAATATGGCGACAATCAATGTCCAAGATGTCTCTGTGCTCACCTCTCCAACCGTCTCATGCTGAGTTTACAACACTACAGCTATGAGCTCTCTCAATATCTGCATAAAAACACTCAGGAAGAAGTTTCCTCTTGGGTTTTTCAAAACTCAATAAGGCTGGGTTTTTTGAGATGGAACTACCTGATTTTTCATCTAAGTGAAATTCTAATACATTTTTTTAAAAGGTAGAATAATACACTATCAACCCGTTTCAAAATACCAAATGCTACCCGAAGCAGCGGACATTTCCTTTGCAACTACAGCAAGTCATGTTGTTCTTTGAGTTTCACTATAGAAATTCTCATCAAGATTAATCAAACTATACACAGATTTCCTAAGTTATATGTCCATTTCACCACCACGTAGAACAGTAATTAAAACTTGGATCAAGGTCAGCATTCCCCACCCAATACATCAAAGAACGATGCCAATAAAATCCACCTAAAAATTATCAGAACAGCACTACTGATATCATCATAAGATACAATCACTCCCTTATCAATACTGTTGAGACATGTTCTGGAGGATACTGGTTTTCATCAGTTTTCCAAACACATTATAGCAGACATTTGTTTGAAGCATTCTTTTGCAGAAACCTAAGGTATACCACAAGGAGGACCTTTATTACACTGATCTTCAAGGAACCGGGATGGACATGTGAGTAAAGGATGAAAGAATTATGCACAAGAGGAAAATCCTAGCTTTCAGTGCCTCCATTTTTATTTTTATTTATATCTATACCCAGAGCCCTCTTGCAAGCACAGGTCTCAGTAACATCCAGAGGAATACAAACTAAGAAAATACCATGCTGTGCAGGTCAGTTGTGTATGAATATTTAAAACAGTTCCAGTGACATTCAAAAATGTCTTATGAAGGAGGGATACAGACATTTCTGCACCGGTGTGGAGTGATAGGACAAGAGAGAATCAGATTAAACTGAAAGAGAGTAGGTTTAGATTAGAAATCAGGAAGAAAATCTTCCCTGTGAGGGTGGTGAGGCACTGGCACAGGATGCCCCAACCCTGAAAGTGCTTCAAGGTCAGGCTGGATGGGGCTTGGAGCAACCTGGGTTAGTGGAAGGTGTCCCGGCCCATGGCACGGGGTTGAAACTAGATGATCTTTAAGGCCCCTTCCAACCCAAACTATTCTATGATTCCACGAAGGACTTACTAACTTCATGGAAAGAATGAAACTTTCAAAGGTTTCATAAAATCCTGTGTGCAAGGAAAGTGCAAGCATTTCTGGAGTTAAGGCAAGCATCACAGTTGAAGAGAATCAACATCACACTACTTGGTGCTTCTCTCTAGGTGTTAACAGCACATAGCACCAAAAACCATATGGCACATCATCACCTTAACTCACAACAGCTAAACTAAGTATTTCTAGAAAGGATGGTGTGGAGAAGGAATAGAAATACTAAAAGCAGCTGTTAAAAAACTAAACTAAAAACTTCACAGAAATGCAAAAATGATACACTAACAATTAACTTGCCTATTCTCTGGCAATCACACCTAGCTTCACAAAGACCTCACAACTCCTACCAAAACAGCAAACAGAAAGTTCCCATGGCTTATTGTATTTCAGAACATTGCTGAAACAAACTGTACATTCAAGTGCTTACCGAAACGACCCCATTCTGTTGCCTTGTCGATGGTCTCCCCACATCTTGATCTTGTTTGGTAGGTTTCCAGAAATGGTTAATTCACTCTAAGAACACCCAGACACCACAACCTGTTGAACAAATAACATGACAATAAGCCACAAGGCTAATGACACATACCACATGAGAATAACATTGCTGGTTAGAAGGGGTGTGTGTAACATCTGATCAGGATCCACAGACACACACAGGACCACACTCAGGCATGAATGAATTCAAGTGTTTCATTTCTCCACGTTCAAATTTGCAAGTGTCAAATGACTCCTGAAATCAAACTGTCAATATGGTGGGCAAACAATTTGATATCTGCTTTGATTAACATAAAGCTTTCCAACATACTGTGCTGTCTGACACTATCTGGGGTGCAGCTAGGAATGTGAGAACGCCACCATCTATAAACAACAAGGACCGTTGCTGAACAACAGTTTGCAATTAATGTTTAATCCAATCTATTTCTGACAAAAGCTCTTTGCTGTTCAAGGAAACAATCACTACGATTGGTCTACTATGGGTACTCTGCCCTTGGAAGTATGTAGATAGCAGAGTAGGCTTTGCCAATAAAGGATGACAGACACTGTTCTCCAGCGCTGCCCTCATCAAGCTGAGTGACGTAAATAACACTTGCCTCAAAAGAAATCTAAAATTTCATCCCCTTCCTCCCACCAGCAGAGAAGGTGAGGATTTCCTAACGATAACCACAGCCAGGACTTGAAATAGGAAGTACTTCCATCTTTACAAAAAGGAAAAAAAGGCTGCAGCAGAACATGGAGCAGACTGAGGGATATGGCCACCTGATGGCCTCAAACCTGCTCTGGCCGATCCAGCTGTGGTGTCAGCACACCAAGATTGAGAGACATGGGGCTCCTAGGCTGTTACCAAGTGGCACCAAGGTGGAATTATTTAACTACACTGATCTGGGGAACAGAGGGCAGTATGGGCAGTCACTGCCCAGCCCAGCTACAGTAGCTTGTGTTGAAGCAAAGCACACAAAGTCCTGCTTTATTGCCACTTCCAAAGGTCAGCCCTGCAGTAGGGGAGGCAGGAGGACAGAGCAGGTTATAACAGACTTTACACCAGGGAGAGAATGTAGATGCCGCTGCTGGCAGCTACGTGTGCCAAGGAGCTGAGGGGAAAGTGCCCTGCCAAGAGGGAGTACCCACTCCTCCCAGAGTCCACTGCCCACCAGTGAAGGCTCAGGGATGGCAAGGCCCAGCAGGCCTCAGTACACAAAGGTGTGGAGGCTGAGGAAGGCAACCTGTCCAATCACTGCTGATCCATCCACCCTAACACTTCTCAAAGAAACAGGTTCATTCAGTTGGTCACTCAAGCCTGAGACCACTGATCTACTCACATTATACATGGCTCTTGATCCCTGGTCCCAAGGATTTCCTCCATAAGCTCTATCTTTCTCAGACGTGAATCCAAGAGCATGGAGACTGCACCCTCCATGGCGAGGACAGGCAAAGGGACACCGTTATGGCAGTCACCACCACAGCTTGCTGCCACCAGCCAGTCCTTTTATGTGTGATCTTTTGCAGCTTACAGACCTGCTGTTTCTTGTTCTTGGATTTCCTCCCCACTCCAGTTCTCATAAGTCAACAAGCTTACTGATGCTTAAAAAAATTAAAATAAAATCCCTTGCCAACTGGGAATTTTTTAGACATAATATTCAAATTAGCAGACAGGGGAAAAATTACCACTGGCCTGAGAGCAGGCCTAGCACAGATCCGCTGAGCCATGCAGCAACCTCCATGAGTGTGAGGTCATGGTTCAATAACACAGGTGGCAACACTGGCTACAACAGTCCCCATTCAGCCTGATTTGCTCCCCGCTCTGCCTTTGGCAATGTGGTGTGTAAGTTGTGCCAACTTGTGCTTTTCTGAGTCTGCACCATGGATGACCCTCAAAAGAAAGTTATATTTAACCCAGGTCACTTCAGTGATATGCTTTGCCACACAGCTCCACAAACCAAGGTGACAGTAACCTGCAGGACAGGGACAGAAGGGTCTTAGCCTGGCTTCCACCAATGTCAAGATCTCCTGAGGGTACACCCTGTTACAGCTCTCCCAAAAAAACACATTGTGATGAGACACCATGAGGATTCACCCTTCTGCCACAGGCAGGTAACTGCTAGCTCAGCTCCCACCTCCCTACTTGCAGATAGCTACCGTGAGACAGTGCATGTAAGTGAGGCTGTTTGCCAAAGACAAACAGAGCCTGGGGCTGAGGCCAGGACAACAGCAAAGCACAGCAAAAATCCACCCTCAAGTGCTTGGAATTGTGCATTGATTAGTTTTGTCACACTCTGGTTCACAGGCAAGCGTCTGAGGAGGTGATAACAAAGGGCATTTAGTCACACAGTAACAGCACAGGCCAGTCACTCCCCGAGCCTGGACTGACAGCTTTTTGAGTCAATAGTGAGCTGCTACAATTGCACTGGACATTGGGGAGGGCAGACATGCATCACCTTTCCCTCCTCCTATCCCAGCTGGTTCTTCTTCCTGGTGGCAAAGCCTCAGCTCCCCTGAAGATACAGAAGGTACAACTAAAAGAGGGGAAGCTCTTTTGTAGTCTCAGTTCCTCTGAGGACTGGTGGTCCCACAGCCCTCCCAGGAGAGACAAGTGGAGCTCCAGATGCTCCCTAGCAATTACACCCAAGGACTTCCTCAGGACCATGACCCTGCCCTAACCAGCACATTCCCAGACAGCTCTGGGGATCTTCCTGATTCCACTTCCCAAACTCATATGTGAAGTCTGACAGCAGGCTATACTGGATCTCTTATTCTAATTTACAACCTGCTATGGTAAAATAATGGCATTGTACCTGGGAATTGTGCAGCAGAGCCAGACTGAGCAGCCGGTCTTCTTCAGGACTAATTATAAACTTCTGGCAAGGGGCAGAGCGGGAAATGTCAGCACAGCCCTTGAGCATGTCCTCACCAATTTACACCCAGCTCTGCACTTTGTTTTCCGAATCTGGGAGGAGAGAGGAGCAATTGGTGATGGAATGGGCAAAAGAAGGTTTCAAAGAGATGCTGTTCTCAGAAAAATACTCTGATATTCACAGCAAAATAGATCTTGCCAGGACTTGGCATTTATAGAGCATGAGAAAATCAAACACATGGTCATGCTCAAACAACAAAGGACGCAATTTTCTGCGGAACAACTTTCTGCACTAAAGTTTTTGTAAGGCTGAAGAAAGGAAAAAGCCCCTGGGAAACTCAAGTACTATAGGAGGCACAAGAGAAAAGGTTTCTCCAAGCTACAGAAACTGCAAGTAGCCAAGAAAACCTGTTACATCCAATGTGAAAGCTGAAGATCCCTTCAGAGGAAATATCAAAAGCACATCACTGAAATTTTAAAATGAAGCGAGAAAGAAGGATTTTGGTTGTTATGGGTGTCAGGCTGGAGGATTTCAATTCAAAAAGGGGATGTGCATGCTTTTCAGCTGTATTATGCTTCTAAAAACATGTATAAGAGACAATTAGGGGAATTTCTAACACACACACCCCCATTACTGTCCCAAAGCATGTCCCATGAGCACATGAGCACAGCTAGGGAGTGTTGGGAGAGACTCTCACGCCACCAATGCCCTGCTGGGATAGGAAAGTGAATTCCACCTTCAGCAGAATTTCCAAAAGTAGCACCACACACCAGCAGCAACACCAGACTCTTCTGGTGCCAGTTGTTTTAAAAAACAGAGCATGAGAGGTCAGTGTCATCACTCCCAGTTGCTCCTGATCACTGCTTTTCCTGGCCTCTACCTGCGTACAGCAGGAACCTGGACACATCCTGCCTCCACCTAAACCTTTACTTACAGCCCAAAATCCCACTTAGCCCATCACTGGGGATTACTATCCGCTAACACACAGCTCCCATCACCTCTCTCCGCATCCCTGCATGAATCCAGCTGCTTTTGTCCATCCCTTTTCTGACCACAAGTATCCCGAGACACTTTTCACCGAAACACACGTGACACGGTGCAAAAACAGCCTCAGAATAACACAGAAACAGCCATAAAATGCCACGAGCGCTGCAAGTACACAGGAGGCAGGCCCCAACACTCCCCATGGATATTCCACGGAGCTCCCGATGCAGGGGCTGCGCTTCCCAATCCCACGCTCCCCCCCGGGGCGTGGGGCCCGGGCGAAGACACCGAGCCCGCACCACCCATCTGCGGGACCACAGCGCCCGGACGCGGCCGCCAGGTACCCCAGCCCCGGCCCATCCCGGGTGACCCCAGAACAGACATCCAACACCCCCAT